ATCCACGTGCTGTACCCTCCATAACATTTGTGAAGGGAAGGGTGAACGATTCAGTCAGGCATGGAACTCAGCGGTTCAACACCTGGAGACTGAATTTGAACAGCCAGAGAACAGGGCTATTAGAGGGGCCCAGCACGGTGCTGCAAGGATTAGGGATGCCTTGAGGGAGCAATTTGAGGCTGAAAGCCAACAGTAATGTCTGGTGCCCTCACGGGAGTGAAGTGCAGTGGTTCCAATGTTAGTAGGAATCTGTGTTTGCTACACTGACTTGCAGTGTCTGTTTCTTTCCTGGGCTAAGGTATCTTTTACTTTATGCAATAATAAAGAATGTTTTCAAAGCCAAAAAATCCATTTATTGAAAAGAAACACAACTACCTGGGAAACAGAAGGGGCAAGGGGGTGAGGTGGGGAATGGTACAATCACAGATTTGCCTATGTCCTGTTATCATACTCAGCCTTCCTGTCTGGAGTGCTGTGCAATGGATGCTGCACTTCAGGATGGCTATACTGCATGGTGATGGGGGGTGAGTGCAGTGGGTAAGGGTTGTAGTTTTCAGGTCTGGGTGGTGAAGCTACAGGTGTTGGAGGCAGCTGGTGGCAGCAAGAACCCGGATGTTGGGGAAAGTGGGTTGGAGGTGACACGGGGGCACAAGGGAAAGAGTTTTGGGACAAGGGCTGTGGGGAGTGGAGGGTCGGACGGTAGTGCTCCGCCTGCATGGCTATGAGCGCCTGAATCGAGTCTGCGTGGCGATCCATTATGCTTATCAGCCGATCCGTGCTTTGCTGGCAGAGCACCGCGCTTTTGTGCCAGCGCTCCTCATTCTGCTGGCAGACCCTCCTTTCGCTGTCCCGCCACTCCTGCACTTTTCGATTTTCATTACTTGAATGCTGCATTACTTCATGCAACATGTCTTCCTTGCTTCTGCGTGGCCTCTTTCTGATTCTTTGGAGTCTTTCAGCCGGTGATAACACGGACAGCTGAGATCTCAAGGTTGCATCTGTGAAGGCAAAATGTAACACTTAACAGAGGCAGCATTGTTCACACCAGACAGAGCAATGGTTCCCCCGTACTTAAGGGCAAGCACAGTCTACACAATAGCATAATTTCCCCGTCGCAAAGCGAGCGCACAGAACCCATGGGAGCCTCAAAATGGTGAGTAAGCACAGGGTCAAGCGTGACTGATTGTTTCATGGCTGTACTGTCCTCTGGGTTTCTGTGCCTTGGGAAGAGCCAACAGCAGCAGGAGGCCCCTATACTGAACACTGTCCCCACATTTTCCACAGGAGTTCATCCTGGAAGATATCTCGCTGCTGAGGGTGACCTGGGAAGCAAGGGAGGGTCTTCTACTGCAATGCGGTTTCTGCCCTGGCCCATATGCATCTTGCCTTTCTGCAGCAATGGTCCCCCTGCCCCTCACGCACAGTGGCATGGACAAGTTAGCCTGCATGGGATAAGGACCACAGTGGCTCTCCCAAGAAACCTGCACAAGCGCATTGCCCAAGTTCTGAATGAGACCTTTGAAGAGATCACTGAGGCCGATTACCGCGATGTGAGAGAGCACATCAATGCCCTATTCTGCATCTAGGCATGCATGCAGCCCTAACCCTCCTCGCCCCAAGAGCCCGCACCAAATAGCTTCCTTCCCAAAATAAAAGCCGCTTACCGGGAACCTCCTCTGGTGTTTGTCTTTCCCCAAGCACTGGCCGCCGTGACTGGCTACCTTCCTCCTGGCTTGAAAACAGCTCCTGGCTGCATGCATCTAAGAATTCCGGGGTGTCTTCCTCCACCTCAGCACCCTCGCTCCCGCTTTGCTCCTCCTCCTGCCTTATTGCACTGGGCTCTGAAGTGTCCATGGTGGTCCTCGGAATGGAGGTGGGGTCGCCCCCAAGTATCGCATCCAGCTCTTTGTAGAAATGGCAGGTTGCAGGGGCAGCACCGGAGCGGCTGTTTGCCTCGCGGGCTTTGCGGTCGGCATTCCGCAGCTCCTTCACTTTAACCCTGCACTGTAGTGCGTCCCAATGATGGCCCCTTTCCATCATGTCCCTTGGCATCTTCCCAAAGGTATCGTAATTCCTACGGCTGGAGCACAGCTGGGACAGGACAGTTTCCTCCCCTCAAACACTGATGAGATCCAGCAACTTGCCATTGCTCCAATTACTGGGGATTGCCTGGTGCATGGAGGCATGGTCACCTGGAAAGATTCGCTGAGAGCACTCCATGCCTGGTTGAGCAAACAGGAAGGGGATTTTCAAAATTCCCAGAGAATTTAAAGGGCGGGTCTGACGGTTCATCACCTGAAAGCAGGGCAGTAGAGTTCAAAGTGATGACCAGAGTGGCTAGAACAGGCATTGTGGGGCACTTCTGGAGGCCGATTGGAGCACGCTAACAGACCAGGGCATCCACACTGGCGCCGCAGCACTCCAGTGGGGGCGCACAAAACGTTATTCCACTCACCGAGGTGGAGTACCAGGAGTGCTCTAGCCGCTGAGTCAGAGTGCTCGAAGTGCCTTGCCAGTGTGGACGGATAGTGAGCTAGTGCACCGGGGGCTCCTTTAATGTACTCTAACTCGCAAGTGTAGCCAAGCCCTTTGAGTTTCTAGGAACACATAAAGACCAAGGATAGTGACCACATATACATTCGCATGTACAAGGTCTAGTTTGGTTTACAAGATTTATTAAAGGTTTAATTAGGATTATGATTACCCAAGCATATAGAAGTCCTATAAAGATTTATGCACAAGTTACAAATGTAGTCATACTCACATCCTTAACGATATTCTTCGGATTTGATGGATATTTTGCAAATTGATCATCAGTGGAGAGATGGTTCCTGCTGGAGTTTTCCCATATGGAACTCATTTTACCCAGTCTGGGAACCTTCTTTTATCTTGTGATTCTGACTACACCTTACACTCTGCGCATGTGTATGTGTTAGAAAAATGTGACTATCAGGTATCTTATAGTCAAAATTACTCTTGCGGTTAATATTTTGCAATACCACCCATTGGTACATCTTTTCCCATAATCTTGTAGCATTGGGTCATTCTTTGGTCGGGACTTATGTCAAGTCTTTCTTAAGCCAATGGCCTAGTATGGCTACACTGACATCTTACAGGCCTCAGCCTGTGGGCCTTTCATTTTAGCCCTTAGACTCTTACGAGTGGGGGGATCTTATTGCGTCTGACTACTGATCAGTCTTATACTTCTATAATCCTACAATTTACATCTATTTAGCATATATGATATAGCATGTCAGTTAATCATAACATTACACAACACAGAATAAATAGTGATAAAATGAAGTAATTGGCTACACTAAGGTGCTGGATGCCTGGGGTCCGAATCTTCCCTGTACCTCTATTCAGGGAGCCAATGCACACTCCTCACTGGAAAACCAGTGCCCTGAAAGCCTGTCTGATTTCTCAGCAACCTACTCTTGTTAGCCGGCTGGCCAGCTCCTGCCCTGCCCCCCACCCCAGCTAAGCCCTTTTCTAGCCCTGCAGTCTCCAAGCTCTGTGCAGGAGACATCACTGCGGTTTGTCTCTCAGTCACTGTGGGGGAGGGTTCATCTCCCCTGCCATTCAGCAGCAGGCTTTCCCTCCATTTTCTGCTCAGCCCAGGGACCCCAGCTATTCCTAAGGAAAGTAGAAACCTTGTTTTCTCAGGCCTTTAGATGGGTTCATCTCTCCCCTGCCCTGCACCTTTCTGGCAGTTTTCCCTTCAGTTTTTTTTAGCATTGCTCTCTCCCTCTCACACAGCAGGTAGATCTCTGCAGCACTCTCCAGGGCCAGCCTGCTTGCAACAGGGCTCCTCTCAGCTCTGTCCTTAGTTCCCCCCTCTTATTGCATCACCAGGATCACATTGAGACATTTATAGGACAGTGCACATTAGAATGTGCAGAGGTATGGAGAAAAAACAACAAAGAGAGGATAGGTCCTGCTGGAGTTGTGGTTCTCCGATTTCTTTAAACTGTTTTTGTAAGCAGCCTAATTCATGAGGGGAAAGAAAGGCAAGGAGCTGCTGGGCTGGTTCCTTCAATTGCTGGTTTCTTAAGGATCTGAAACCAAACTCAGTCTCCAGCCTCTTCTGATTTCAAAGTAATGGAGTAATCACAAAAATGTATGATTTTGAATGGTCTCACTTTAAGATTTTTGTAACTTTTCATTTTCTTGCTATTTTTTCCAGGTGAAGAGAAAGCAACATCCCACCACGGTCACAAGCTGCAATGCTGCGAAACCGGAGAGTGACTCTAACACAGTGCTCTCCCCATCCCCTTAGGTTGGCTTTTTAGGAGTTGTGGACACACTCCAGGCATTCCGGTAAATTTTCCTTGTTCCGTCTGATCTTTGTTGTGGTTCTCAATTATTATTGAACAATTAAAGTTCGGGCAGGATGGGGCAGTGGCTACGCGCGTCCAATATGCTCCCCTGTATCATGGGAGCTGTGAGGAGATGTCTTTGAGGCCATGCTCTGGTACTGAACAATAGTTTTTTATTTTTTCAAACACCATGAAGGTAGACTGAGCCAGTCAGGTCACTGAAGAGGAATCCAAGTGAATCCGTTTTCCTTTCACATGCAATTTTTAAACCAAACAAAAAGAAAACTATTGAAAAATAAATAATGAGTCTTTGTTTTTAATTCACAGGCTAACAATGCCCTGTTTTTTGCGCACATGTGACTAATTCCTGTGACAGCTCAGAAATAGACTTTTTAACAGGTTGGTTTAGTTTGGTTTGTGGTTACTTTGGTATTTACACAGTATTCACAGTAACACAATTCTGTGATCCAAAAGTATACACTACGTAGTTCAGCTTTTTCCAGGTAATTATCTTGGCAGCGATGCTGCTTCTGTTGTTTATTCTGCTAAAGATAAAAATAGTCCTATATTTGGCACTTTAGTGTTTTAATAAACTGTGAAAAAATGGAAAGGGGTTTAGATATACAAGGGTTTATTTCATTTCCCATAGGTGTGCAGAGTAGCGTCAGCTGTGTGCCTCATTTATGGAGACTCTAGCAGAAGCGGTGGAATGAGGTGAAAGGCAGTGAAATCAGCTATTCTCTGTAATTAAAAGATGAGGAGGATCCTGAGAAAAACAAGCCAGCTAGGTGGGAGAAAGCAAAAAGATAAAAACTGGTTCTGTTCATATGGTGAGGAGGATGGGATGGGGGTGTGGGGAATGTAAGAATGAGGATTGAGAGACATGGAAGAAGATGATAGGGAAATTGATAGGAAGAGGGAAAGAAAATAATTGTGGAAGTCCCATTGCCCAAATAAGTTCGAGGGAGTGTAGAATGCACAATACCATAGGGGACAATTTTTCCTTACCTGGAGGGTGCCCCTTCCAGTGTTTTCATTGTAATGGCACTGTCTCTGTTATCATTATCATGACTCAACTTGTTGCGGTTCAATGACAAGACAGGACAAAGCTTTAAGCAAGCAAGCAAGCTGGTCTGCAGACGGGCTTCTGCCTGTCAGCTTTTCCACCCTCTCTTTTATTTCTCTCCCCCCTGCACATTACATACTCTGACCGCAAAAGGCATCAACAAAGGAAACAATATGACTTTGATTAATATTCTTATTTACCAGCCTCTATCTACTACTGTCCTTGTTCTCTGGCCTTGAGCCCAGTCCAAGGAAGCTTCCCACGGTTCATGTCCTCTGGGCGACTTCCCATGATCCATGTCCTTGGACAGAGCAGTGTGTGCACTGCTCCTACACAACACCCAGGGTGTGCCCTGAATGTTTTGAGGTGCATGAACTCTACATGAACCCTTCATCCCCTCCTTTTTTGTTTATTTGTGCTCGGCCATCTTATGGCAGCCATCAATTTGCTTTTGCAAGTGATTTAACTCCCGGACAGACAAGGACATAACTCGGGGAGCCTGCCAGGGCAGGTCTCTACAAAGCCTTAACAAAGAGGGAATACATTGTACACAGCAGCAGCAAAAAATAAGCCCAACAATCACAAATACAGCATAACCGAAGAATTGTCGCAGCCATCCTAGAGAGGGCAGCCAACCTGTAAGCCAATTCCAAAAGCCCTCAGACCCCAGATCTTGGCATATGTGTGCCATAAGATTGGCCAATTTGGCCAGTCTAGTTTCTATGGAATGACTATTATCAGTTAAATTAAAACAACACATATGCTGAAACGTGGAACAGCCTAAATGATGTTTCAAGAGCAGAAAATCAATGGCTGCTCTGGTATCCAAAATTGCATCCCTTAATTCGTGTTGCTCTGTGTTAAGTAGGGCAATTGCCTGGGATGTAGTATTAATTGCCTTTGCCGCAAAACACGCCAGGGCATTTAAAGTTTTTGCTGTATAAGTGGCAAGCCCAGGGACCCCAACAATAGAGGCCTCTAAGGCGGTATACTCAGAGCGGCTGAGAAGATTGACATCTGCGACACAATCTTCTGAAAGGGGTGTACTTCTTTTACTGCGCTTTTGGCCGGCAAAAGGCAAAATGAGTGTCATTCTACTGAGGCAACAAAGGGTGCCATCGCTTAAATTTGCGGGAATATAACTAAAGGAACGTGAGCCACAGGTAAAAAACCACCCTGATGGTAGGATGATATGGCCATAATTGTACGAAATATTCACGGCATGGGAACAATTTAAAAAAGGTTGAGAAATTTGCCGACAGCTTAAGGGCACCTTTGTACTAGTGCAATTGACCACACGCGCACAGGTGACATTGTTGGCCCCGGCCGGATACGGCGTGTGGAGGGATACGGCCGTTTGAGGCAAAGTATAGTTGGCCGGGCCCCAATTAGCCATGCCAGAGTACTGGGAAGAGAGATTCGCGTAAGCAGCGAGCATCGTCTCATTCCCTATTTCCTCAGGGTGATGACATACTGGAATAAGGCATGTACCTAACAGTTCTCCGGCTGCTACAGAATCAGATAAACAAAAGTGGGTAACATTTGCTATTGAAGCCAATCTTTCCCATAGGTTATATGTCATTTGGGCCCGTAACGGAGGAAGCGCTCCCGAGCCAACCCCTACAGGAAATAGCAGGCACAAAAGGCATACAATTAATACAGAATTAGCAGTAATTTGGGCAAGAATTGCCACAAACAGAGTCTCAGGAGTCTCTGGCTGTTGGTTTGCTGCCAGTCTTCATTGAGCCGCAGCGACCAATGCTTTTACTGCTCCCCATGTCATGGGCTGGCTTGGGACGCTACACCTCCTCTGTTTCCGTCCCGCCGTTGTCGACCTGGGAGGCACCGCATTCTCCTCCAAGGTCAGCTGAAACTCCAGTATGGGGTTCGATAGCCCCTGGTGCCACGCCATGCTGTTTCAGTGCTGGTCGCACACACCGGGCCGGAACCCACAATGGTCCTGCAGGGAGAGACACAGCAGCATATCCCCGCACCCAAGTAATTAAAGGTACTGGGCCCAACCATTGCGGATCGGGCAGCTGACAGTAATAGACACGTGGTCTTTCCAGTACCTCGGATTTGTGAAAATGCCGATCCGCGGGGGTCTGCTGATCTGCGTTCAGCGTTAAATTATTTAAAGTAAACAAAAGGATATGCAATTGTTGCTGAATGTCTCCTAAGGTTCGGAGACGCAGCTCCCCTTGTTTTAATTGTTTGTCAAGCAAGGTTTTTAGCGTGCGATTTGCACGTTCAACAATGGCTTGGCCCATGGAATTATAAGGGATCCCGTGTTTGAGACGGACGTCCCATTGGGCACAAAAGGTGGAAAGGGCTGTGGAGCAATAGGCTGGGGCATTATCTGTTTTTATCTGGCTCGGGCGACCCATAACAGCAAAACAGGCTAGCAAGTGCTGAATAACTTTGGGAGTGGCAAGGAGAACCAACCGCAGGGGACGAACTTCAGTGAGTCTATCCACAAACTGCTGACTCAACGCTGCATTGATCTGTTGAATGCAGGCAATGTGTTCCTCAGTGATGGCAATAACTGCGCCCGGTGCCCGAGCTCCACGTAGGAGCTCGAACAACGGCTGCTGCATCGATGTGGGGAGACGAAAGTAGGGTCGAATCCAATTTAAATGACCCAGAATCTGTTGTAATTTAACAAGGGTTAGGGGTTGGGGTAGGACCACTTCCGGGCAAACAGGGGCAGCATAGGTTTGTAAAACCTTATGCCCGAGGTATTGGTAGGGATAAGAGCGTTGGATTTTTTTGGGTGCCACTAACAGGCCATTTTGGCCGAGAATCTGGGACAAATATTCAAGCTGTTGTGCCGTGACCTGGGGACCGCTAAGCAAAATGTCATCCATATAATGGTAGACATTTAGTGTGGGGTATCGGGCATGAAAAGGGGCGAGGGCCCGATCCACAAAAAGTTGACACAAGGTTGGACTATTTTGCATTCCCTGGGGCAAGACTTTCCACTGATACCTTTGAGAGGGTCGCTGATTATTATATTCCGGCACTGTAAACGCGAATTTTTCGCGATCTTGTGGGCAAAGGGGGATGGTGAAGAAACAATCTTTTAAATCTAACACACAAAGCTGATCGGTTTGAGGTATTAAATTCGGGTTTGGCAACCCAAACTGCACGGGGCCCATGGGTTGGATGCGTTTATTTATTTCCTTTAAATCATGTAACAGCCTCCATGCACCAGATTTTTTCTTAATAACGAACACCGGGGTGTTCCAAGGACGAGTGGAGCTCTCCAAGCGCTGTGCATGCAAATGTTGTTGCACAAGTGAATGAAGCGCTTTCAGCTTTTCTAGAGGGAGGGGCCACTGGTCAATCCACACGGGCTCTAAGGATTGCCATACCAATAGTAATGTGGAGGGCAAGGTGGGTGAGGGAGGGTTTTGGGCCATTATATATTAATATCGAGGGTGGTGTCCAGCTTTGCAAGTAAGTCACGGCCCCAAATATTGAGGTGGACAGGGAGCACAAAAGGGCGGATCATAGCAAGGGCACGGCCTCCTGGTTTAGAGACCGTGACCCAAGACAAACTTTGGCGCCCGGGTTTGCTACCCCTGATCCCCCACAACTCTTTAGAAGGAACTGTTGGCCAACTACCTGGCCACTCCGGATCACGAATCACCGTAACGTCAGCTCCAATGTCCACCAGCCCTGTAAAAGGAACATTATTTAAGAGAAGTGTTAACTGAGGTTTCAAGGGGCGGACCGACATTGCTAGAGCAACAAACAGAGAGGACGTGTTGTGAGACGGCAACTGAGACAGCGTTGATCCAAAGCTGCCTCCGCCCCTGGCTCGATCCTCTGCGGCTGGCACCTGATAGGGGACTAAAATCAATTGTGCAATTGACCGTCCATGCGGGAGCGACTGCGGAAGATGGGTCCACACCTGAACCTTAATAACGCCGGTGTAGTCAGCGTCAATGACCCCTGGGATGACAAAAAAACCCTGTTTACCAGCGTGTGAGCGAGGGAGAACCAGACCAACAAATCCGGCAGGGAGAGGTCCCATCACCTGTGTAGGTATGGCGCAAACCTCCCCCGGCAACCGAAAATCAGCATCCTTCTACATAATCAAATCAAGCCCTGCACTTCCGGCAGTCGCCGCCCTCATGGAGTCTATGGATTTTAAGGCAGAGGGACAGTCATCTGAGTGGGAAACACCCCCGTTTGGCCCTGGGTTTGGGGGGGACCCATCGTGTGGTTTCCCGACCCGCTACGACACTGATTAGCCCAGTGATAGCCCTTCCGACACTTGGGGCATTTCTTTGAGGGGCGAGCGGGCGCCGTCGAGGAGCAGCACTCCTGCTGAAAGTGACCCTCCTTACCACAGCGGTAACAACGCTTCCCCTCCTTCCCGCTTTTTCGCAGGGCGGCAGCCAGAACTCCAGCTTTATGTGCTTGGGTTCCGATGTTTTGGCACGCCCGCAGCATGTCCGACAGCTCTAGAATTCCAGAGGCTTGTGCCGCCTGGAGAGCACATCGGCAATCCTCGTTCGCATTTTCAACTGCCATTTTTAACAGGATCTCCTGAGCTGCTGCCTCCTGCAATCTGTTGGTAAAATCCATAAAGGACTCTGATGCACCCTAACGGATACTGGCAAAACTTTTAGTAGGCTTGTCTGAATCCGGGACCTTCCGGAAAGCATGCTGGGCGCAGGTGGAAATAATGGGGAAGAGGGCCTGCATCTGGACGGTAGCAAACTGGCCCTCCCCTGCCAAGTGCTCATAAATGACACCTTGCTCTCTATATACCTGGGCTTGGCGTTCCGCCATCTGCCGATACTCACTAAGCCAAATAACATACTGACTGGGTGTCAGCATCATGCGCAACAGCGCTTTCCAGTCTTCAGGGACCAGGGTGTACTCAGTACCTAGCCCTTCAATGAGACCACGTACATACGTACTAGTCAGGCCGAACTCGCGAATCGCCTTCTTTACCTCTCGGATCACCGAATAAGGCAAACTGACCCAGTTTGCAAGCTGGTTGCCCTGGCCATCATCCTGCCAGGTCACCGGACAAACTGAGACCAGATCAGCCAGCTCCTCTGCTGTAATATCTGAGCAAGTCTTCGCTGTGTGAACCATTTGTTGCACCAGTGAAAGCCCCTGAACAGACGCGGATGACCCCCCCGGGGGCCCCGGAGCATGGGGCCCCACGAGGGGATGGCGATCACACACCGGCTCCAGTGGGGAAGACAGGGGAGGCGGTGGTAACTGGGGTGCTGGGGGCAAAGCAGGGGGAGGGATGGCTGCAGGAGCGGACAGGGGTGGCGAGATCGGCAACCCCTCTATTGGCGCGGGAGAGGATCTTTCTGAGGCGACACGCTGTACTGCATCGCGGCAGAGGTGCCAGGCATGTAAAGCCTGCACGGGCGCCCGAGGCTCTTTGTGCAGTGTCTGGCCCAACCGCTCCCAGTCCGCTAGCTTAAGGGTTCCGGCTTCAGGGTACCACGGGCACTGGGCACTCACCTCCTGTAGCAGGAGAGTGAGTTCTCGAGTGGGGCAATCATGCTGAGCCTTACGCAGCAAATACTGTAGCTCATTGCGGTGTTGCACTTGCAAAGCAGAGAGGGAGCTTCCCATATTTACCACAATGAAAATCCGGGATCCGCAAAGCGGATGAGTGATGCGTCTGAAACCCTTGCCGGGCGAGGTGAGTGCTGAGGGCCCCACGTTTGGGCGCCAGTTGTTGCGGTTCAATGACAAGACAGGACAAAGCTTTAAGCAAGCAAGCAGGCTGGTCTGCCGATGAGCTTCTGCCTGTCAGCTTTTCCACCCTCTCTTTTATTTCTCTCCCCCCTGCGCATTACATACTCCGACCGCAAAAGGCATCAACAAAGGAAATAATATGACTTTGATTAATATTCTTATTTACCAGCCTCTATCTACTACAGTCCTTGTTCTCAGGCCTTGAGCCCAGTCCAAGGAAGCTTCCCACGGTTTATGTCCTCTGGGCGACTTCCCATGATCCATGTCCTTGGACGGAGCAGTGTGTGCCCTGAATGTTTCCAGGTGCATGAACTCTACATGAACCCTTCACTCAACTTACTTCTCAGTGAGTCTTTTCCTCTTTGGAATGAATGACTTGCAGTATTCACTGCTTCCATTGAAACTGGGCACATTTTGCGGGCACGTCTAAATGGACAGGTTTGGGAGAGAGAACCAATTCTAAAAGATTAGTAGTAGGTGCAAGGAGTTGGCTAAGGGGAGAATAAAATGGACAGCTGGGCAGGGTTGTTTCCTCACCTGCCTGTCTGCTAAAATCTGACTACCTTGAACTCCCACTGATATAAGTTTGGCATTACACTAGTTAAATTACTACTATTTCTACATATGCATATACTGTGGATGTTCATATACTTTTCAACATCTTATTTATGTTGCTTGGAGCAAGCAAATGTTGTTTTCCTTTTAGATAATATTACAGCAGTTATATGTCCTTTGTCAGCATTACTTGTGTAGGAGAGAAAACAGATGGTTCATACTGAAAAAGGCAAATAGAGGAGACTGTATTCTATCATTTAAGATAATGCCTCCAGGCTTGAGTTACACAGGGATCTCAAAGGACCTGTGGTAAATTGAGGCATATCCTTCTATCCAAAAATAAATGCAGTAATAGAAACAAGTTTAAAGGGAAATTGGGCAGGATGGTACAAGGGACTGATTTTTATTGTTCTTTATATTTCAGTAGTACACAGAGGACCCCAATCAGAGCAAGAGCCACATTATATAAAGCCTAGAAGATCCTTACCCTTTTTCAATGTTCAGATGTAATTTTGACTACCATTATCTAAAAGTTGTTACGGTTTCAAAACAATTCAGTAGTCTATGTGAAATAAGATTGTTGCAGTCTCATTGCTAATGGCCAGGGCTCTTCATCGCCAAACTGACTTCTGGCATTAATTTGGTACCCTTTTTTGTTAATGTCAGGGAGGCATAGGAATGACTGAGCATGGAGAACCAGCTCCCTTTATAGCTGTAGGAGGTTTTCCCTCTAAAACGGGGTTGAGGCATATTTATGGGATGGTTGAGGGGAGCCTGCACTTCTGTGGAGTCAAGCTGTCATTCTAACACCTTTGACCAGCACTTAAGTTACCTAAAGATAAATACAGTTCAGTCTACTATGTAGCAAAATGTTGGCCAAGGTGAATTTCTTCAACAGCTTTCTGATCTATAAATAGCAAAAGTAAAATAATCCTCATTTCAAACTTGTCCATATAATTTATTGTTTCTTTAATGGGACATGCATTCAGTTCCTTCAGCTGTGATTTTTGTGTGTCTTTCCCCCTCTCTGTCCAAAGTATTCAGCATGTATTCGGGATTGTGATTTTTTGACAAGACATTGAAGAGTCCTTCAAAGTCTATTCCATTCAATTTCTACATGTTCTTTGACAGGACTTAATCAGAACAAAAATAATATTAAAAATATAGGCGTTTATTGGTTGTCTCCTTCATGACATCATTGTTCCTGCATCCTTGAAAAGAATAAGGAAGATGCTGGACCTGGTTTAAGATAAAGGGCGGTAAGGGGAGAAAGTTGAAAGTTCTAACTTTGCCCTCTGTGCCTGTGGGGTTTGCTTATTTATTTAATTTTGAAATTCAATTGAAATTTTTCATTAGAAAACTTCTGCTCTGCTCTAGTAGATACCAGTTTTCACATAGGGAGAAATTAATCAGTGGTTCAGCAGGTTATGGCACCTAGCCCTATCTCACCATATAAGCCATGTTGGCTGGCTGAGTCCTTGTAAAGGGATGGCCCTGCAACCCCTATGTGTTCAGGCAGTGGTCTTTGGCACAGAAAATCACTTCATGGGTGGAGTAAGAAGAAGTCATGGATCTGTATGTATGCAGATCCTTTGGCTCCAGAACTTGCCCAGTGTGGAGGGGCTGGGCAATTTAAAGAGTATAAGAGGTTGTGGGATTCCTGGCTATGACTCAGGAATGTGAATTAACCCTCATTACAGCACTTCATCAGATCCTGAATACTTGGGCTTTGTGAATTTACTTCTAGTAGTCACGTTGGAGGAAATTTGCAATGAAAACTTCACATACATCTAAATATCTAAATTTAAGAGTAGTTGCAATTTGCTTAGCTCAGTGAAACACACAGGAACGTGTTTTCCCAAATTCAGCTTTTCAGCAACAGTAAAGGCTCCTATACTTTGATGTCATAGAACCTATGAAACATTTCTTATTGGCTTATTTGCAATGAGGGTGATAACTTTTTCTCTGTGTGATTTTTTTTAATCTTTAGATCTCATTGGAAAGTGTAGAGTATGTGTAGCACTCAAATGAATATTTTTGTACGGTCATTCCAATCCTTATGTTGCTAACTACTGCTTTATTTTAAGTGTAATACAAGCTCACTTAACTGTACATTGAACTACCACAGTGCAAAATGTCTGCAGCTATATAAGACTTTCTTTTCATATTATCCTCCTCTTAGCAGATGGCCAAAGACTAATATTAGCATATCTTTTGAGGCATATGTGTGGTTTTGTTTTTGCTTCATTTTTTAAATGATCATATAACTTTCTAATGCTAAAGGAGGGAGAAAAAAGTGTGTCTGGTAACACAGAAAGCATCCCATTTGCTGATTATGTTAATGAGAGAATTTGCTTTTCTGGGAAATGGAAAATCCCTCAAGAAAATTGCATTAGCAGGTAAGAGCTGATTTGCCTCACTGTGAAAGGAAAAAAAGACTGTTGATTAGCAGATGTCTTGCATATATGAGGAG